ACACGTTGTTTGCTCTCCACAATTAAAAGGGCAAAATCCACACTTTCCTGTGCTGGAAGCTGCCCTAGGCTCTCCTCCTATCAAAACCTTGCTTTGCTTTTTGATCTGTTTGAATCCATTGTCCTCCATGAAGGTTTTTTTTTTTTTTTCTCCTTCCAGGCTGAAATTAATCTCTCCACTTTCTGAATAATAATTATCCTTATTTTCTGTGCTACTGAATTGCTCACATTAATGTATTTAAGCATTTGGGGAAATATATGTTATCTTCCCAGCAAGATTGTAACATTTTTGCCTCCAGAAGGAGCTCAGTAAAACTGATGAGGTGAGACAGAAGAGCAGTGAGAGACACTGGAGAGAATATGGGCTTTGGAATTGGACACACCTGAGTTTTCATCAACACTTAGGCTATTGGAAATTCCCTTTCCTCATCTGTAAAATGGGGATAGTAAAATACACTCACAAGTATTGTGAGGTCTGGAGATAATACACATAAGGTTTTTTGTGCATAGTGGGTGCTAAATTAAATAGTAGGCATTTTTATTTTTACCTTGTAAAAATAGGTAGCAGTGATATAACCTTTGATTTCAAAGTTGGTTACAGGTAGAGAAGATAAATTGTATTCTAGATAGATTATTACTATTTTAGGGATAAGATGTTTATAACAGAAATATAACCATTAGTACTCCTTTCTTTCAGATATAGATTTTAGATAAATAAAAAATGAATTAGAAATTAAAAGCTTTTTCAAATACTACATGTTCTCTCATAAGTGGGAGCTAAATATTGGGTACTCACGGACATAAAGATGGCAGCAATAGACATTGGGGACTACTAGAAGGAGGAAGTGGGAAAGGGTTAAAACTTAATGTTGGGCACTGTGATCAGTAGTGATGGGATCATTCATACCCCAAACCGGAATCAAGCAGTGTACCCAGATAACAAATGTGCACATGTGTCCTCTGAATCTGAAATAACAGTTGAAAAAACATTAAAAGGTATTTTTCATGTTGTTTTAATATGCACGTAAAACTACCTAAATAATTCAGATTTACATCCTCAAAAATGTAGCTTTCAGATAATATACATGTAATTATCATTTGTAAAAAGATAATAAGCAAGTCTTGAAAAAACTTTTAAAATATAAATATATGGCACACAAAAATATAGATAATAATATAACCAACAGCCAAGTTATTTTAAAAACATATTTATTTATTAAATGAATTAACAGCTGTTAGAACTATAAGGAGTAATACCTGATAAGTACAATGGAATTGGGCTGAGGAGTTACGGCTTTCAGAGAATAAATTGAAATGAAAAGTTTCTATTGCTTGTGTGTTGACTATCCACCATGCTGACCCTTTTCAGTTATTTCAAGGTTATATGTTTACCTAAGAAGAGGGTAACCCTTAAACCAGATTCCATGTGGGTTTCTATGAAAAACCTACCAAAACTGATGACAATAAATAATCCTACTACAAGGAAATATTTGTTGCCACTGAAATCAACAGAATATGAGTTTTAAAATAAGATGAAATATAACTGTTCATATAATATTTTGTTGAGTTATTGATATTTTATCTCTTTTTGTAAGAAAAAATGACAGAGTAATAATTATGGCTGCCAACCGACATCAAGTGAAAAATCCAGGGTTACATTTCTGTCTTCAACGTTTCTTTAGTGATTATAATATCTTAGTCATGGAAAAGGTCTTGGATCTTCAAAAGAAACACACTTACAAAAGAAGAGTTGAAAATAGCACTAGTTTTATGGCCAATATATAATTTACATGAGCGTGTTTGGAAGAATTATCAATCAATCATAAAGCTAGTAGGGGGTTAGGAGATCATATGATCTAACCCCTGACTTTGTGTCATAGCATTGTTGTAGAAACAGAATATTGGACGTCTTTTCTTTACTCTTCCAGATCCTCTTTTCCACTTTTTACCCCCAACTTTCTCTGGGAGCTGAACCTGTAAAGAAAGAGGCTGTCTTATCTCCTGGTTTTGGTTTATTAACAAGGAGCTCCTGTGGGACATCAAAGGAAGGGAGTATTCTCAAGACCCCCAACTGGGTGCCTACCTTAATTAAAGACCGTGACCCAAGTCAAGCAACCCTCTCCTTCCAATTTTTTTTTTCCAAGACAGAGTCTTGCTCTGTCGCCCAGGCTAGAATGCAATGGCATGATCTCAGCTCACTGCACCCTCCGCCTCCCGGGTTCGAGAGGTTCTCCTGCCTCAGCATGATAATTTTTATATTTTTAGTAGAGACGGGATTTCATCATGTTGGCCAGGCTGGTCTTAAACTCCTGACCTCAGGTGACCACCAGCCTCATCTTTCCAAAATGCTAGGATTACAGGCATGAGCCACCGTGCCTAGCCCCAGATTCTTCTAATCACTCTGTCCCTTCATCCCTTCAGGGCTACGTTTAGTAAGAGCTGTAGTTAAACCTGAATACTGCCCTACCCTCTGTGATTTCTCACATACAGTGTTTCTCAAAATTTAACTTACATTGGAATGACCTGAAAGGCTCCTAAAACTATAGGTTACCCTACTGCAGAATTTGACTCAATGGGTCTGATATTGGCACTGAGAATTTGCATTTCTAACAAGTTCCCAAGTGATGCTAGGGTGGGAGGCTTAGAGAGCCACTGCCCTATGGCCCTATACCTTGACCACCTTTTCTAAAATTGTCCTGTTTTGAGTTTGCCATATATTCCTTCTGGAATCCTATCCATATAAGTGGCTATAAAAATGAGTTGAAAACATACCAAGTTGTCTTATGGTTAAGCATAATTTGCAGGTACATGTTTGAAAAATCTTCAGGTTGAAGAAGAGAAAGCTGTGGGAATTTAGGAAATCATTTTGTCTAATCCTTTAATTTCAGCAAGGAAATAATGTGGACAAAGTGAGGTCACGTGATTTATCTGAGGTGACATAGCCAGTGGTATCCTACTTTTCAGGGCAGCCTTTCCAGGATACATATTATGCTGCCTCTTGTCATAGCACAATTACCCCTTCTATACACACACACACACACTCCCTAGATTGTGTTAATCGCTTCTGGGTATTCATGATTTCTGCCTTTAGGTTTAGGCACCAGATCTACACAGTGGTGTTTGCCTCATGATTTGGGGCAAATAGGGATAAGGTCTCTGGCTCAGCTTCAGTATAGTACTTAGTAAAGCCAGATGTTTTGTTAACCTTTTGTGCCCATAGGAGATAAAAGCCAATAGTAAGGCCTTTGAATGATAGCTGGGACTTTGATCTATCTGTATCTTCCAAGTCATCTTGCACTTGTTCGCATGGAGACATTTGACTCTTTGCTTTTTACCCCCAGTGCTTTCCAAAGACCTTTTCCTAGTTAACCTTCATCAATTTGGCTTTTCAAGTTGTTATCTGAGAACACGTCTTATACTCAATCTGTGTAAGCAGTTGTTTTACTCAGTGGCTATAGTTCTTTTGCTTTGAAGTTCTTAAACACCCAAGGCACCTTATTCTCAGCTCCACTCCTCCTTTCCTGGGAGCTTCAGCCTGTTGCAGCGTTCCCTCGGCTAGTCACAGAAATTGGACAAGTCATCGGTATAATATTCAAGTCCCTTTCTCAGGATTTTTGACTCTGTGCAGCTAGATTTCTCTCAGAAGGCTAAAGCTGTGAGATTGGAAGTGTGGGAGCTTCAAACAACCAAATATTCTGCAGAGAAATGTAAGCAGCAGTCAACTGAGAAGAAATGAAGCTGGTACCCAGCAAGGAGAGATGGAGAAGATGAGACTGATTGCACCAGGGCCCTGGTCCCAGGTGTTCCTGAGGTTTAAGGACACTCAGCCCTTCTTGTCTCTTTAGGTTACTAAGCTCCTAAAAACTCCCCTTTTAGCTTTAAACCAATTTAGTTTGGATTCCTAGTATATTAAGTCAAATATTCTATTTAATCAATGACCCCAATAGTCATTTTTGTTTACCAGGTCTCCCCAGGTTTAGACAGCCTGGTTTCTTGGCCACTGTATACTGCCTGAATCTCAATTAGACAGTTCCTGAATCTCAATTAGACAGTTCCTCACCTAACAGGTGAGGGTGAAAGAATGGGATTTCCGATACTCTTGTGTACTGAGATTTCAGCATCTTAGAGCTGATTGTCTTAATATTAAGCTTCATAGCATGCACCTTATGCCTCTGTTTATGCTTCTATGGTTTCCTGTGACTGTATTGCCTATTCCCCAACCTAAAACTCTGCCTGATTAAGTTCTATTCATCCTTCAGACACCTTTGATGTAACCTCCCATACAGCCTTCCCTGCTCCAGGCTTCTGAATGAATCCCTCACTGCCTTTCTTCCTGCTCCCCTGGCTGCGTCAAACTGTGGCTAATTGGTTACATGTCTGTATCATGCTTAACTGAGAGTTCCATGAAGGTACAAACTATTCTTCATTTGTCTATCTCTGCTCCTGACACAATACCTGCCCCATAATAGGTGCTTAGTAACTACTTGTTGAATCAAATTGCATTTGGGAGCATGCAGATCCTGACCAGTGCATATAAAGAAATCATATTCTCCTTCTGGACCAAATAAGAAAAACAGCCCAAGATGGTCCCACTGCTATGGGTCAGGTGAGCAGATGTCTTTAAGAAGGATAGGGGACCATCTGGTGTGACAAATGAGATACCACACACACATTACTCCTAACACAGTTTATTCACAATACTTAGTAAAGTCAGAACGCTGTTTCCTAACTGGATTTGCAATCTCTGGTTCCACTAAGGCACTCATTGTTGCATGCAAAACAGAAAATAGAAATGATTTACTTATAACACTTGACTACATCCCAGGCGATGTTCTGAATGTTTATATTTGTCAAGGTTGCCTTTAGATTAACTAAATGGTACAAGACCATAGAGGATGGGACAATGTTTTCGCTTCCAGGATCAGAGATAATTGTATCAGGACTTGGGCCAGGCCTCCAGGTCTGGCTCTGAAGTTTAAAGTTTGCATTGTTTAAGACAGTGATGAACTATTCTTGGATCTCTTCCACAAACTGACCAGTGGGAGGCAGCTGGCAGTAAGCAATGGGCTCTGCAGTATATCACATAAGGAACAGGAGGTATGGAAGCCAAGACATAATATTTTAGTGAAAATGAGAAAGGAAGATAAATCACTAGTGTGGCTTATACATTCAACACTTGCTAGCTACACACAAGTTACCAACTTTTTAGGCAACTATGCACCATATTTTATCTCATTCCCATCCCAACTTGCTACCCGACCTATTTCTAGACTTTCTCCTTTTGACCTATAATTGCCAAGAGATTGGGAATGGAATATTGGGAAAATGAGACCCAGTATTACCCTGAGAAAAGAGGAGAAGGCATACCTTATAAAAAATAAATTTCAAAAGATAAATTTTAAAAGACTCTTGGAGTATCTGAGCATCAGCCACTCTTGAAGAACATGAATAATTGAGAGTTCACTGAATTTCATACAGTCTGTTTTTATTGAACTTGAATTGTCCAGTTAGAAACATAGTTGTACAAGGTATAATAAACATTCTGGATATGTAAAATAAGAACCTCAGGTATTTTTGACACTCTTATAATAACAATAGTAACATGGCATTAATTTAAGTGTAGCAGTCAGTATATAATGTTTGTTAACTTTTTGAGTAACTATAAATTTATAATTTTCTAAATCCAAGGTTAAATAGTACATTTTATTTTTATGGGTGTGTAGTAGGTATATATATTTATGGGGTACATGAGATATTTTTATACAGACATACAATGTCTGTCACCGCAAGCATTTATCATTTCTTTATGTTACAAACATTTCAATTACAATCTAAGTTACTTTACAATCCACAATGAATTATTGTTGACTGTAGTCACCCTTTTGTGCTTTCAAATACTAGATCTTACTCATTCTAACTATATTTTTATACTCATTAACTGTCCCCACTCCCTCCACCCTCAACCCACTATCCATCCTACACTCTGGCAACCATCATTCCAAAGAAATAGAAGAAATAGAAATCCTTGGGGAAATGACTAATTTCAGGAGCGGGGCAGGGAAACTATAAGATAAGCCCAGGGCATCTTGCAGTGCTAGAAAGTAAGGAAGAGCTCAACCACAAAAGAATGGGGACAAATCAAAGGTACTCAGAAGCCCATCTAAAAGAGCTCACCATGGCCAAAGCTGGAATAATTTGAGTGAAATAATAAACAATGCAGGTTTGATCATAACCCAAAGTATGAAGTAAATATTCATGAGTCTATACTAATACAAATAAATTGTGAATAAATAAAGGAGGAAAAGAGACAAATTATCTTTACAGAAGAAATCCAAATAATACATGTAGACCACCCCCACTCCAGAAAGTGAGGCTTAGCACCCCCTCTTCCCCACCCCAGAGAGTGGGCTGGACTTAGTGACTGGCTACCGAAGAAGAGAGCATGGAAAGGGGAAAAAAGACAGTGGAGAAACCTGGCCAACACGACCTTGGCCGGGTAATCACAGTTAACATCATCAATAACAAGTCATGTTGGTAGTATGTCATGACTGATACTACATGAGAAGGATTCTTTACCTCTGTGGTGTTCTTCCTGAAAAATCCATGAGCCAAATATAACCATGAGATAAAATATCTAGCAAACTCAAATCGAGAGACTACAAAATACTTCAACAGGTCTCTTTGGAACTGTCAAGGTCATGATAAACAAGACTGAACAACTGTCTCAGACCATAGGTGGATAAAGGAACATGATGATTAAATGTAATGTGGTACCCTAAATAGGGTCCTAGAAAAAGGACATTTGTGATAAAACTAGTGAGAGCCAAATGAAGTTTGGAATTTGGTTAATAGTGATGTATCAATGTTAATCTCTTAATGTTGATAGATGCATCATTTGGATAGGAAAATTGGGGCTGAGGGGTGGGAAGTGGCAGGATGGGCCCTCTGAGCACAGCACCCTGTGTGACTATACTGGCTGCAGACCCATGAGGCTGACCTGGGGTTGGAGATTCTTGGACCATTAATCAGAATTGGGAGGGGGGTTGGCTTGTGGAGGATTTTTATCTATAACACCAAATAGAGGCTAGTGGTGACTGAGAAGACACAATGAAATTAAATTTTAGTGATCAATCCCATGGAAAAGTGTATAGTCAGTTTGTTGGAAACACTGTTGGCAGTTTTACCAGTTAGGAAATTGACAGCCTTAGGAAGAAAAGGGTGGAGTGGAAAATCACAGAACACTGTGCCTTCCTTGCCTTAAGCTATTTGACTGTGTTAAGTGTTAATTCTGAACACAAGTACCAATCCAAACATCATCTTCTAGTGTTCATTTCTAGCTAATAGATTTATCTAAAAGAGTCTTTATCTTATAGGCACAGACCTTGCCATAGCATTTTCTTTTTACGAGCCCCTTTTATAGAATTTGAAATAAGCTCATTAGGACTGTGATTGTTGCAACCATATATTTTACTGCTCAGGCCTTTAAAATCTACTTCTGCCAGCCTGGCCAACATGGTGAAACTCTATCTCTACAAAAAAATACAAAATTAACTGGGTGTGGTAGCACACAGCTGTAATTTGAGCTGCTTGGGAGGCTGAGGTAGGAGAATTGCTTGAACCCAGGAGGCAGAGGCTGCAGTGAGCCGAGATCACACCACTGCACTCCAGCCTGGGCGACAGAGTGAGACCCTGTTTCCAAACAATCAATAAATACATAAAATCTACTTCCAGTTTTTTCTTCAGGCAGTTCTCAAACTGGTGTACTCTGTCTTCCCAGGTACCTCCAGATCATCAGTCACTCGATGTAAACCAGGAGCCAACTGCCCCAGTTCACACAGTGGCATCAGTAGACAACTGTCCCCGCTATCTGTCACCGAAGATTCCTCTGCTCCTATTCTTGAACTTCAGAACCGAGGATCCTCAGGAGTTTGTGGACACAGAGTTGAGAGACAGAACAGATCAGGTATGTGGGTGAACTCCTCTTAAATAATGGCACATCCTAGTAAGCTTCTAAATAGAAAGATCTCACCATTGTCACAGAATGCAGAGATGTTACGTGGACTCTTATGAGTACATGTGGGGAAGATTTATCAAGCCAAAGGATAAGGAAGAAGGAAAATATATAGATACAATCTATTAGTGGCACTCCATTATACTCTACAGTATGGCAGAGAAACTGAATGCCAAAACCTGTAGTTGAGTAACTTAACACATGGTTAGACAATGACTCCTGGTGAAGTTTACAAGGTAGTTAGCTTTCTCATCTTCAAAATATCAAAACCCTGCATCTTTTAATCTCAGCCTGGGGATTCAGTAACAGCACAATGTGCCCATCCTGAAAAGATTGAAAACACCAGCAAAATCACAGAATCTGCTTTTGTCCTCATCAGGACTATTAGTCCCTGGAGCCCTTTTAGTTTTCCCAGTTTTATACTTTCTGCAGGAAACTTCACTGGCTTCCCTGATCAGCATTTTCTGATCAGTTGAGACTTTAGCTTTTCCTCACATCCACCTGACCACTCACCAACTCCTGGGCTACTGACAGGAATTGCTAGATAAATCTTGTAACTATGCTCATGAGTTTCCCAGCAAAATTTATAGTTTTTAAATGCAGCTGGGTCCACTAGCCTGCTGGCCAGTACTGTTACTTATTGGTAGTGGACATCTTATTGCCTTCCTCAGGGAATGGACTCAAGTCCCCTGTTCATATTCACTTCCTCTTATTGTATGACCGACCATACTTCCACGTTCCTGAAAAGAGCAAACAGCTGTACACTTACAAATGCATTTGTCTACTTCAGAATGTCTCTGTGCTTTTACCAGTTACCATCACTATGGGATGACTTGTGGTATGTGTGTCTTTCTACCTTTCCAATTTTAGCCCCCCTACCTGTGTCCATGATCGCCCCACCTACATCTCTTCCGGCCCATTTACTCCTCTCCATTTGTTTCCTCTCTCTTCTCTCCATTTGTTCCTTCAGCTTGGCTGGCAACATACTAAAATCTCTTTCATCCTCAAAAATAGTAACAGCAGCAGCAAAAACAACAAAATACACCACCAAAATAAGTTGGTAGTAAAAAGAACAACAACAACAAAAATAACCTCTAGAAATTTGGAAAAACTGCCTTAAAAAAAAAAAAAAAAAAGACAATTCAGAGGATTCAGTTAGGGATAGGGGAAGGGTAAACAGAGGAAGAGAGATGTGAAAGCTTCTTCAAGGGTCCTACTCATTTGAGAATGTATTTTTAATGAGAAAATACATTCTTCAAAAACAGTATTTTAAAATGATATCTCAGACACTATGTGAACCCCAAGGCTAAAACTAAAAAAAACAGAAAAATAATGGCATCTTAAATTTTCAGAAAGTTTTAATTGGCTTTAATAAATTGCAATATTCCTATTATCCCAGTTGTTTGCAAAACAAAATGTTCCAGTTAATTAAACACACTGGTTAATAAAGACATGCCCTATCTATCATACACAGATTACAAATTTCAATAGACCATACCATTAAAGATCATCTGGAACATAAGTTACTCTTTCTGTGATTATTGGAAGCACTTGGGGATATTCCAGTGCACCAAAAAGAAGAAAAGAATAATCTGAAGAGAAGCTCACCATGCTTTCATGGATATTATGGTACTTAATCTCAAAATAAATTCTATGAGATAGCTATTATCACTGTTTGACAGATAAAGAAGCTAAGAAAGGAATTTTAAAATGTACTCAATGCCATACAATGGCAGGGCTAGGATTTAATTTCATGTTTCCAAATTCCAGTGGCCTCCACTGTCAATTTGCATGACTTGATAAAGGTACACAGAAATGGATAGAATCCTGGTAAACCAATTTTATGATAACAAAATCTAAGCAGGACTATAGAAAATCATGTTAAAAGTGGTCAGAAAATAAAAGAGTTCTGGATACCTAATCTTTCTGTGCTTTGTAAAATTAAAGAATTGGCAACAGTCAATCTAGTTAACAGAAGAAGCCTAGAGTCAATACTATGAAAAGATGTAGGTGACTATTGGTGTCATCAAAAGCACACCCATAGTATAGTGGTGATGCAGATGCATTCTTCAAATAAGGTGACAGTAAAGGCAGATATTGTCTCAGAATCTTTGTAGAGTTATTCCTCCTTTATAAGACAGTCCCTGGGAATCATGAGATCTGAAGTGTAGTAGGGTACACCTTTCTCTTAACTATCGCTTTTTAAATTCCATGCAGGAGCGCCATTCCTGTCAGGAAACAACTTTTTTCCCAAACTAGTCTGAAACTTGCTGTGCTTGAATGGAAAGCTAAGGGCTGAAGTCCTAGCCATGCGGGTGCTCAGAATAAAGTTTCGGTTGGGTTCAACCTTGGACAACCCTTAACACAAGTCTCAGCTTTTTCATCTGTAAAGTGGGAATGACAATACCTACTTAGTAAGTCAGGTTTGTGTTCCTTTCTTGGCCTCTCAACACAAGATTCTCTCATTCTATCCTCTTATTTATCCTGGTTTTCTTTCTACTCTCTGCATAAGCCACATGGTCATGGAGGAAATTTGCAGACCTGTTATCAAGAGATGGTGTTGTCTGTAAACAGCTGAAGGAGCTGAATAACTCACACTTCCAGACTCATCTCAGTGTCACTGCATCATGGACGTTTTTTCTGATCATATCCCCACCCCAGACTCCTCAACAGTACTTGTCTGGCCTTGTATCTGTCCGAGTTGGCTCTTATCACACTGTGTTGAGTATGTTTCTGGCTTTCCATTAGACCGTGGGCTCAAGTCTTTCATAGTCAAACCCTTAGGATCCAAGTAGCTAACTAGCGCCTGGTAGAGTCTCCATAAGATTCTGTTGAATGAATGAATAAAAGATGGCCAGTTTTCATCTTCTGGGTGCCGAGGCTCTGAGAATTCAGTACTGTTTATAAGGCTTATAAGTCATGCAGTGGTTGCCGTGTTCATAGTTACTTGGTTTATACTCCCCAGGGGAGAATTCACTTTCAAGACTTTCTTCTCCCTTCCCCCCAGTGATTATATCAGAAAGCCTTAACTAGGTAAAGGTTTTTAACACAGTGGGGCAGCCACACCTGGCTCATTAAGCAGTAGGAACACATTCAGCAGCAGAGCCAACAGGTTCTGGAGACACAAAGTGAGCAGGCCCCACACACTGCCATTGGCAATCTCCGGGCCACGCGACTTTAACCCTCAGCATAGGCCTTGTGCTTAAGTGGGGTCCCTGGAGACACAAGAGAATCTCCTAGACAATTATCATCTGGGATCTCAGCTCAGGGACTCCAAGTGACCTCTGTTCCTGTTTAGCTTCCTGATAGGTACATGAATTCATTATGTTAACTTGTTTTTTCCATGAAGGGAGACAGCCTTCATGATTATCACTTTTAGAGAGTTTTGGCTATTTTAGGGTGCTGTAAAATTGCTGCTACATTTTCTTAGTAAATGTACAAAGCAGAATTTATTGTGTTCCCAGAAATATATTAAATAGTCATTTGTGATGAGGTGGGAAATGACTGTATAGTCAGGACTTGCTCTATTCTTGGGACACATTACTTTTAATTTAGTAATCATCTCTTCTGCATTTTTTTTTTTTTTTAAGAGACCAGGTCTCCCTCTGTCACCCAGGCTGGAGTGCAGTGGTACAATCATTGCTCACTGCAGCCTCAAACTCCTGGGCTCAAGGGATTCACCCACCTCAGCCTTTGGAGTTGCTGGGATTCTAAAGGTGTATGCGCCACCCCCCTGCAAATTTTTTTTTTTTGCATAGACAAGGTCTCGCTTTGTTGCCCAAGCTGGTCTCGAACTCCTGAATTCAAGTGATCCTCCCGCCTTGGCCTCCCAAAGTGCTGAGATGACAGGCATGAGTCACAACACCAGGCCATTTGCTACAACTTTAAAAAAAAAAAAAAAAGGAAAATGGAAACATATTTCTCACTCCCTTTTCATGTTGGTGCATACAGAGCAGCTTGGGCTGCATTCTGCTCATTTCCCCATACAGACAGAAAGAACAGTTTCTATTGGTGTTTTACATTGTAATGACAGAGGGGAAGAACAAGAGAGCTGGTAGGACCTTGGGATGCTTCCTAAGGTTTCTTATGGGAGGTGTTATGCCTCACATCTTCTCACATTTGATAGGAGAAAGCAGGGCATGGGGCCAAGACCAGTTTTGGGGGGCTGGGATGTGTATTGCTCTTACAAGGCAAGGGCACACTGGAAAACAGCGTAGCATCCATCAAGTCCATGAGCAACCTCATGGACTGGATGGGGACTCAGATGCTTACTGTATTGGGTAGAGCAGAGAGTCCAGAGAAAAAGTGAGCCGAAGTTATCAGTGTCCTCAAATGATGGTAGAAAAGAAAATCACTGGTAATTCTACTGTCTGCCTCTTTGGTTTCATTCATCTTTTTTAAGGAGCTGATATATTTGATTGCTGTTTCATAACCTGCTTTCCACACATTTGTATTCCTTTCCTGTTTCCAGCAGACGATGGGACACAGACTCATTCTGAGAACAGCAGCCAAGAAAACAGAATCAAGGCTCGCTGCCTGTCCTGCACGTCCATGGTTCTGAAGGGCATCTGGGGACTCTTGATCATCTTGTCAGTATCATCGTCTTGGGTTGGAACTACACAGATTGTAAAAATTACTTATAAGAACTTCTATTGCCCATTTTTCATGACTTGGTTTTCAACAAACTGGAACATTATGTTTTTCCCAGTCTATTATTCTGGTCATCTAGCCACTGCTCAAGAAAAGCAATCTCCAATGAAAAAATTCAGGTAGGTTTCATGTTAACTGGCCAATAAGAGATTATTGAAATGTTTTATGAAAATATGCCCATTTTTATATCTTGGGAATATGAGTTGAGTTTTTTGGGGTATGTGAAGAAGCAAGATCTAAGGTTGGTGACGAGCACTGGAAGCAGAATCAGTCCTTCCTTAAAAATATGTGTCTATAACATGGCAGGCACTGTACTGGTGCTTTTGCATGTCTTATGACTGGTGGTAACATTTACATTTTAAGGTGGTGTTATCCCCATTCTAAGACAAGAGGAAACAAATTCAGAAAGGTTGAATGACTCATCCAAGGTTATACACTTATAAATAATAGAACCAAGATTTAAATCTAGATCTATTTCTGAAAGTCGTGTTTTATAAGAACATCCTAGTGCATCAAGCCCAGAAAAAAATGGTATTAATAAGATTGTTACACAAACATTTGCTCAATATTCCTGACACTGAGATGCCTAGCAGATGACACAGCCTGATTTCATGCAACGGGGAGTTTGGCACTAAGAAACTTGAAAAGATGCCACTCTTTGCTGGCTAGATGCTCATGGGGGCTTTGTCTGTTTCCTTGCTAACCATGAACAGTGGTGGTTGGGCTTAAAGTCTTATGGTTCCAGTGGTTGTTCTGTACTAAACCTGAATTCTGTAACCCCCTCTTGGATAGCTCAGGAAGCTGACAGGGCTGATGTTACCCAGCGCTGCATGGCACTCAAGGGAGGCAAAAGCAGCATTTGGGTCCAAGTACCTTTGCTTAGTGGACAGCTCCATGGAAGAGGGAAAAGCCTGATGCTGAGAAGTGACTTCCAGGGAAATTGCTCTAATCACCCAGGAAAAAAAAAAAAAAAAAATAGGGACATCAGTAGACGGCAGACGGAAGAAGAGTCGTCCACATGGACTTATTCCTTAGCAGAATAAATTTGTCTTCCAGGGGCCAAAATCTTTCTTACCCCTATACCAAATGAAAAGAAATTATTACAGTTGGTACATTATAAGACTCTTCTTATAAACTTAACTTGGAAGGGTCTATCTTCAAATTCTATTTTCTGTGTTTTTGAGACAGAGTCTTGCTCTGTCACCCAGGCTGGAGTGCAGTGGCATGATCTCAGTTCACTATAACCTTCGCCCCTTGCCTCAGCCTCTTGAGTAGCTTGGGTTACAAGCGCGTGCCACCATGCCCAGCTAATTTTTTTGTATTTTCAGTAGAGGTGGGTTTCACCATGTTGACCAGACTGCTGTGGAACTCCTGGTCTCAAGTGATCGGACCACCTTGGCCTCCCAAAGAGCTGGGATTACAGGCGTGAGTCACCATGCTTGGCCTCAACTACCATTTTCTTTCTTTTGAAGGTGCATGTACTAATTATTCTTTATTCATTTGGCCTTGAAGAATGTTTAATTTGTGATCACCTTTTACAGTGACTTGGCAGATTTTTCTGTTATTATACTTTAAGTTCTGGGATATATGTGCAGAACGTACAGTTTTGTTACATAGGTATACACGTAGCATGGTGGTTTGCTGCACCCATCATCTATGTTAGGTATTTCTCCCAGTGCTATCCCTCCCCTAGTCCCCCACCTCCACCAACAGGCCCCAGTGTGGGATGTTCCCCTCCCTGTGTCCATGTGTTCTCATTGTTCAACTCCCACTAATGAGTGAGAATATGCAGTGTTTGGTTTTCTGTTCTTGTGTTAGTTTGCTGAGAACGGTTTCCAGCTTCATCCATGGCCCTGCAAAGGACATGAACTCATCCCTTTTTATGGCTGCATAGTATTCCATGGTGTATATGTGCCACATTTTCTTTATCCAGTCTATCATTGATGGGCACTTGGGTTGGTTCCAAGTCTTTGCTATTATGAACAGTGCCGCAATAAACATGTGTGTGCATGTGTTTTTAGAATGATTTATAATCCTTTGGGTATATACCCAGTAATGGGATTGCTGGGTCAAATGGTATTTCTAGTTCTAGATCCTTGAGGAATCGTCACACTGTCTTCCACAATGGTTGAACTAATTTACACTCTCACCAACAGTGTAAAAGTGTTCCTATTTCTCCACATCCTCCCCAGCATCTGTTGTTTCCTGACTTACGATCACCATTCTCACCGGCCTGAGATGGGATCTCACTGTGGTTTTGATCTGTATTTCTCTAATGACCAGTGAAGATAAGCTTTTTTTCATAGCTTGTTGGCTGCATAAATGTCTTTTGAGAAGTACCTGTTCACCTCCTTTGCCCACTTTTTGATGTTTAAGTTCTTCGTAGATTCTGGATATTAGCCCTTTGTCAAAAGGATAGATTGCAAAAACTTTTTCCCATTCTGTAGGTTGCCTGTTCACTCTGATGATAGTTTCTCTTGCTGTGCAGAAGCTCCTTAGTTTTATTAGATCCTATTTGTCAATTTTGGCTTTTGTTGCCATTGCTTTTGGTGTTTTAGTCATGAAGTCTTTTTTTTTTTTTCCTTTTTCTGAGATGGAGCCTCACTCTGTCACCCAGGCTGGAGTGTAGTGGCGCGATCTCAGCTCACTGACAGCTCCACCTCCCAGGTTCACACCATTCTCCTGCCCATCCTCCCGAGTAGCTGGGACTACCGGCACCCACCACCACGCCCAGCTAATTTTTTGTATTTTTAGCAGAGATGTGGTTTCACCATGTTAGCCAGGATGGGCCCGATCTCTTGACCTCGTGATCCACCTGCCTTGGCCTCCAAAAGTGCTGGGATTACAGGCGTGAGCCACTGCCTGGTCTAGTCATGAAGTCTTTACCCATGCCTATGTCCTGAATGGTATTGCCCAGGTTTTGTTCTCAGGTTTTTTATGGTTTTAAGTCTTATGTTTAGGTCTTTAATCCACCTTGAGTTAATTTTTATATAAAGTATAAGGAAGGGGTCCAGTTTCAGTTTTCTGCATATGGCTAGCCAGTTTTCCCAACACCATTTATTAAATAGGGAATCCTTTCCCCATTGCTCGTTTTTGTCAGGTTTGTCAAAGATCAGATGTGTGGTGGTATTTCTGAGGCCTCTGTTCTGTTCCATTGGTCTGTATCTCTGTTTTGGTATCAGTACCATGCTGTTTTGGTTACTGTAGCCTTGTAGGATAGTTTAGTTTGAAGTCAGGTGGCATGATGTCTCCAGCTTTGTTCTTTTTGCTTAGGATTGTCTTGGCTATGTGGGCTCTTTTTTGGTTCTATATGAAATTTAAAGTAGTTTTTTTCCCAGTTCTGTGAAGAAAGTCAATGGTAGCTCGATGGGAAGAGCATTGAATTATTCTTCCTATCAATGAGTATGGAATGTTTTCCCATCGGTTTGTGTTCTCTCATTTCCTTGAGCAATGGTTTGTAGTTCTCCTTGAAGAGGTCCTTCACATCCCTTGTAAGCTGGATTCTTAGGTATTTTATTCTCTGTGAACAATCATGAATAGGAGTTCACTCATGATTTGGCTGTCTATTACTGGTGTATAGGAATGCTTCTGATATTTGCACATTGATTTTGTATCCTGAGACTTTGCTGAAGTTGCTTATCAGCTTAAGGAGATTTTGGGCTGAGACGATAAGGTTTTCTAAATATACAAAATCATGTCATCTGCAAACAGAGACAATTTGACTTCCTCTTTTCCTATTTGGTTACCCTTTATTTTTCTCTCTTGCCTGATCACCCCGGCCAGAACTTCCAAATGCTTTGTTGAATAGGAGTGGTGACAGAGGGCATCCTTGTCTTGCACCAGTTTTTTTTTTTTTTTTTTTTTCAAAGGGAATGCTTCTAGCTTTTGCCCAGTATAGCTGTGGGTTTGTAATAAACAGGTCTTATTATTTTGAGGTATGTTCCATTGATACCTAGTTTATTGAGAGCTTTTAGCATGAAGGGCTGTTGAATTTTGTCAAAGGCCTTTTCTGCATCTATTGAGATAATCATGTGGTTTTTGGTCTTCCAAAGTGCTGGGATTACAGGCATAAGCCAATGTGTCTTGCCTCAACTTCCATTTCCTATCACCACTTTGCAAGTGCTTGGGAATATTAATTCTCACCATGAGTTGATTTTCTATATGTGTCCATGAAAACTCAGCTATAGTGAAAGAAGTAAACAATTCAAAAAGAATAAATGCTTACTGGCTTGGGAGAGCCCTATAACTCTTTGAGATTACTAAAGATATTTTGTATTTGATTCTCATCAAAGTAGACATGATCTTGCATTGTAAAATTTTTTTAACAATATTTGATTATGGGGGAATGTGATTATCAGACTACAATTGTCCCTGTTTGAAGATACCTATGTGCGTTCTACTTGAATGCTTCCATGGTTTAGACAAACATTGATTTAAAACAACAAAAGTTTTGTATAAAAAGAAGTACCTCAAGAATACCTCAAAGCAAGCTAAGTCAGTTTGATTTAAGATAACTGATTTAAAACGAGACTGCTGCTAGCAGAAATGTTTGGGAATGAACTATCTTTTTCACATCTCTCATGTCAAACTCTGAACTTAGTAAAATCTGATTTAGCACTCTACCTATAGTGCATGTAGAGTGAAGTTGACCATTTCTGAAATAGAATCAACGGGCTTTTATTGTCAAGCAGAAAACACTATCTTTGAAGGGAATATTCTCCAGTGGCCTCCTCCATATGAGAGGTAAAATTGTCAGACAATTCTTAGATCCTTGATCTTTTTTTCCCTGTAGACTCATTAATACCATCTGCCAAGAAGTCATTCCCGAAGCTCTCATGACTGAACAAGGGGAAAACAGTTAGTGTATAAGACTGGAAATAGGATTTGTCCCATAACAGCAGAACCTCTGACTATTTTCTCTAGAATGGTATGAAAGCATTTCCATTTTTTTTTCTTGTCAGTAACATCAAAATAATTTTCAATAAAGTATCAAATCTAGATGGTGAGGACTATTTAGAAGTAGTTTTTGATAATCATTTATATACTACAGAAGAATTCAGTTGCCTCAGGTGAATTTGAAATTTAGGAACAAAAAATTGTATGGCATATTATTAACAAGGATGTTTTCTTAGGGGAAAAATTCTTTAGAAAGCATTAAACTAGAGCAAAGATATTTGCCTATGTCAGGCACCTATAAAATGTACTTAAGATGCTATTTAACATATAGAAAGGGTTCCATAACTAGTGGCTGCTGTTTTAATAATAAGCATAACTAAATTATTAGTGTCCTCTAACTTCTATGCTTCATTTCAAGCTATACCACCTGTCAATGCCACTTGCCCAGAAAGTCTGATCTCATCATCCCAAAGAGAAACCCACTGTTTATTTGCTTCTCCATAAAAATCCATATTTTTTTTAGTTTTCATGTTTCTTAGAGTTTAATGCTTAAATAGTATGAGATTTTACACAAGTGACCTGGCATTTGGATGGAGAGCGTTTTTAATGTCTGCAACAACAGTGACAAAGGGGAGAAGGTTGGCAATGAGAGAAGGGGAAGGAAAGGGGAACAATGAGGAAACGAACACCTGAGACAAGATGAGCCAGGTGAGAGCAGTCTCCGCCTGGCAGCAGCGTCTTCCCAGCTGCTTTGCTGGTCAGGCTCTGCCTGTCTGGAGTACACATCTGTTGGTCTTCCCTGTGTCCAAAATCTTTGCTTAGGAGCACTCCTCCCAGCATGGTGGTGGGCTCTTGGTTGAAGAACAATCGCTGGCTAGAGCCAGTGATAAGAAAAAGAAATCCTTTAATCAGGAATGGGTTTTGTTGTGGTGGTTCTTAATAAATGTGTTCATATTTTAAAAGTCAGTCAGTGGTTCTAAATGGTAGGATAAACCCACGACTCTCAACTCCAGCTCTACATGGCAGCTTCCTCATGGAGCAGATCACCTTATAAGTATAGAATATGAACTTTGTGCCCAGGATGCTCTATGAAAACTTCCTCTGGTTCTATGTATGGTGCTAATTCAGACTATCCCATTGGCTGTGGGGCTCCAGAGACACTGTTCACTTTCGTGTGTATGTGAGCGTGTGTAATTTCTGTTTACTTTACAGAAGGCTTTAGGTTATTTAATCTCTTCTTTGAAGTTCTGTCTCTTTAAAGTTAAAATTTGTCTTTGGGAAATCTTACTTTCATTTTACAAAAATTCTTCCTTTTTTGTAAACAAATTTCAATACAAGTTTCTGTGTGTGCAACACATATCTTTAACCTTCCTACAACCACTGACCTGCAACTCCCAACATTCTCATCCAGTTGAAAGTCACATTTACTATGAAACTTAATCTTTAAGGCTGTACTCCCTGTGCCTAAATTCTTTATCACTCCTCCTCTCTACATGGTCCTTTTTTGGGATTACATCATTCACATGAACATTCATGTGAAGCAAACATTGGCTAGAATTTACTTTGATTTGCAATACTTTGAGGCACACTAATTTCACTTAAAACTGGAAAAGAAACTAGTACCAGTACTAGAGTCCTGTAAGTAGATTTCATTATAAACATATGCATATATTAATAATGTGTTGCTTTGAACAAGATTACTTATACTACTCATGAAAATACAATGCCTGACCGTTGCCCCATAAATGCTTGAATGTTCGTGAACAATTGAGTGGAAAAAAATTAAGTAAAATTCTCCCAGTAGTAAGTCTGTTTTCAGTCCATCGTCATATAGGCGCAGTCATTGTGTCACTTCCATTACTACCTGTTTGTATGACTAGCTTGAACATTTTTATTAAAATGGCCCCTCAGAGCCAGGTGTGGTGGCTCTTGACTGTAATCCCGGCACTTTGGGAGGCCAAGGCAAGCAGATCACCTGAGCTTATGAGTTTGAGACCAGCCTGGGCAACAGCGTGAAGTCCTGTCTCTACAAAAAATTTTCAAAAACTAGCCTGGCATGGTGGTGCGTGCCTGTAGTCCCAGCTACTCAGGAGGCGGAGGTGTGAGGATGGCTTGAGTCTGGGAGGCGGAGGTTGCAGTGAACCAAGATCATGCCACTGCATTCCAGCCTGGGTAACAGAGCCAGACCTAGGAAAAAAAAAAAATCATGTTTAGGCCTAGGACGTAAAGGAAAAAAATGGTCCCTGGGGCTAAATGTAGCCAACTTAATTGAAAATCAAATAGAAGATTTAACAATTGAAGTGACCATTTTCTGACACTGAATTCAGACAATTTCTCCACAAAAGGGCCAAATGTTTGTATCTAAGTACAACCTGAGTTTTCATCATGTGGGAGTTATCACAGAGCCTTTCTTCGTTTTTCTGCCTTAAAAATGCTAGCAAGAAAAAAATTAGTCAATTGGGCAGATATATTAGAAAGAGGCGTAGTGTCTTAGAAATAAAACCCAAAGACATGTGTGCCGCACAGATGTATGACAGTCCCTTTCCCTCCAGGTTCTAGGAGCTGTCTGTAGCCTGTTCACAGAGCAGTAGCGGCCTTGACCCTCTCTCGTTTGCCCACTGGGAAAGAATCTTCTCCCTCTTCCGGTAGCTAGTGATTTCAGCAACTATCCATTTCTGTATTTCTCCAGGCTCTTCTGAGAATGCTCAAAAACGACAGAATGGCTTTTCAGGCCACCTCCAGAGAATATCTCGGAGAAGAGGGCCTAGCTCTGTGCTTGGGCACATGTGGGCTGTTTTCCAAGGAACCTCATACAGTCCCTGAAGCCTGCAGATTTCAGAACTGGGTTTGGTGTACTTCACAGATGAAGGATGGGTATTGAGTCTTTGTGCTCTTACCTGAAAATGGCTGCGATGAGTCAGATAAGACAAGAGGTGTCACCACCAATACCTGGATATTAATTTCTGTTTTCTTTCCTAGGGAATGCAGTCGGATTTTTGGTGAAGATGGTCTGACATTGAAGCTCTTTCTTAAAAGAACTGCTCCCTTTTCTATTCTATGGACTTTGACTAATTACCTTTATTTACTGGCTTTAAAGAAGCTGACGGCCACTGATGTCTCCGCTCTGTTCTGTTGTAACAAAGCCTTTGTCTTCTTGCTGTCGTGGATTGTGCTGAAAGACAGGTTCATGGGAGTGAGGGTAATGGCATACTTGATTCAATGTGTGATGCCTGCCTTTAGCATAAATCCCTGGCTTCAGGAGAGCCTGTCTGCTTTGTTTCGTGGAGTTTCTGTAAAACTTTTCTCACTTGTTCTGAGTACAAACTGAAATCTGAAGACGCATTAGAAAGCCCAGGCAGTTACAACATCATGGAAGGATAAACAGTTTGTTTCTACTGGTTAGTGAGCTGATTCCAACAGGAGGCACTAAAACAGGCAGAGAAAACAAGTTCCTATTTTAGAATCAATTTTTAGAATTAATGGTGTGATCAACTCCTTCTGTCCTCAGGAATGAAGGGTCTGAGAAAATTAGCCACTATAAAGATTACGGTTTGCAGTTTTCAATCAACGTATGTTGAGGTGACCCCCATTCCCCCCACCAGATGGATTTAATTAATATCGGTGTAAGTAGATAAGATTACCAAACAATAATTAAAATCACTGGTAATGGCACAATGCTGTTAAAAGTGACTATATATCTAGTGTGACTAATGCAGAAATGGAAGTACAAGCAACAACTTCTTTTGGATACAAATCCTTAGTTGAACTGCATTAAACTTCCACCAACAACTTCAGTTCTGAGTTTATTCCTTTCAGGAGTAATATGGATTAAAAACATATATATTTATATGCTTGTTCTATGTTAAAAATAGATTGCTTGGAAGCCTTGAAGATTTAAGAAGGAGCTAGATCTCATTCATATAATCTGGCATGCCACTTTGATGAAAATATTGAGACAACACTTCTTTAGAAGGAGGTACAAATGAACATCAATATTACACAACTTATCTTCTCTGAAAGAGATGTCCAAGATATAATTTGAAACATTTTGTTATCAAAACATTACTCTTATTGGCAATGACTCCAAGGTCCTTTCCCCCTCCCAAATGCTGAAACTAATGTCTATATTCGAGAGAGGGTTTATGATGGTCATTAACCCTGAAAGCTTTTCTTAAAAAAATTTTTTTAAAAAGTTAGACAATTCTGATTGTATCTTGGGAGATGCTGCTCTGAAATTTAGAAGTGAAGCTTGATATTAAGTAGAAAGCTTTGATAGAAGACAAAATCAGAAACTGTGAGTCAGTCCATGGTACCATTACAATATATCCAAATGTGATACTACATTATTTACTGTCTTACCTTCAATTTGACCCCAAAGGGCTCAGCATCACATATTTATGCCTGGGGCACTGGTGCTGGCTGTCTACCATCAGATACCCTGACAAGTCCTTGAGAGCTGGAAGCTTTCCTATATTGTCCACTGTTCTTTTCAAGATGTGCTACATAATCCATGGGGCCCAGTGCAAAATGAAAATGCAGGGGCCCTGTTAAAAACTATTAAGATAACAACAGAGCATTAAACCAAGGGTGGGGACCTTCCAAGCACGGGGCCCTATGTATCGACATAGGTCATCCCCTAAGAAGTCAGCTGTCTCTCTTTCCAATGTCTAGAATATTGCAGGACACAAAGTAGGGGCTCAATTGATACTTGAGGATACAGTAAATGAATTCATACTTCTGAGATCTTTCTTTTCACTGTCTTTCACTACCATGGACCATGGATCACCCATAAGAACCTGGAGAGTCTTGTCAGAAGAGGGGAGAAGAGAGATCTGGAGGCTCTTCTGTTCTTTTAGTGGCATGCAAACACCAACATTAAATCCATGTTTTCACCACTAGATTTACCAGCAATAAAATCCACTGTATTAGAGTGAATGAACACATTTAACCATGGACCTCACTGATGCAAGAGGTTACATCAAAAAAGGTACAGTGTTTATTTGAGGTATTTTAGAAAAAAAGAAAACAACTGTGTAACTTATCTTTAAATAGCAGATTTTAAAAATCAAAAATCTGCCTAGAGGCTACCAACCATTGCCAGTTTAAATTTGCCATCTGCAGTGGGTTGCGTGGTGACTCCAAAAAAGATCGGTCCACATCTTAATCTCCCAAATCTGTCACTGTGACCTTATTTGGATAAAGGGTCTTTGCAGATATTATTAACTTAAGGATCTTGAAAAGGGGACATCATCTTGGATTATCAGAGTAGGACCTAAATCCAATAACAAGTGTCCTTATGAGAGACTCACAAAAGAGACACACACAGAAGAGGAGGCTGCAGCGATGTGATCACAGACACAGAGACTGGAGTGATGTGGTCACCAGCCAGGAATGCCAGGACACTCACCAGAACCCTGGAAGAAGCAAGGACTGTATCCTTCCCTAGAGATGCCTTTGGTCCCAGCTGTATTTTGAACTTCTGGTCTCCAGAACCGTGAGAGAATAAATTTCTGTTGTTTTAAGTCACCAAGTTTGTGGTAATTTGTTACAGCAGACTTAGCAAACTAATACAGCATCTGTAATTAATAACACTCAGTAGAAGAAATGTTAAATAGTTAATAAGTACTTGTTAATGAATATATCCATAAGTGAAGACATCAGAGATAGCAGAATAGTAAGCATTAGTGTCAGGCATCCTGTAAAACATCAGATATTTTTCTTTGTAAGTAAGAGGAAGTGTTTCACTTCTCACTGTGAGACATTAGGACATGTTCAATGCCACGTTCCAGAAGAATGGTAAAGTGTAACTTTAATGATGCCCACAGTCAGGCCATGGAATGTGAGAAGCACAGAAACGTATTCAGCATTTTGCCTTTGAGAGTATCAGCAATTATTTTCCTCCCAAGACATATTGAGAACACATATAATTAGGTCATTTGAGAAATTAAAGGAGGGCAAACAGCACTGACAACATAAATGTGGCTCTTACTGTCCACATCTATAAATAATATAAAGCATAGCTCCTCCAGATGTCATCCCACTGGACTACTCAATAAATAAATAAATAAAACAGTTAAAGGGATGCTTTCAGTCATCAGATTAAAATTTATATTTCTGGTTCCTGCTAAAGCATCAGTAGTTTAGAAACAGATGTTTGTTGGATTATAATTCTCATATGCTTAGCCCCAGGAATGAGCACGTTTAAAATGAGAAGCTATGACCTTCCCTACTTCTAATTTTTTTTTTTTTTTTGTAAAAAGACCACCATGAAAAGACACTTGAAGTTACAACATCATAAATTGGGTTTATCTGGACCACCAATAGGCCAGAATTACTGATGCTCACATAAAAATAAATTACATATTATGAATAACTTGCTAACATTTTCTTTTGAACACTGAATTATAGATAGAAAGGTAATCTGTTTTACATTTAGTATGAAGTCATTTCAGCCAATTTATTGGTAATCTATGGTTTGTTTAAAAGCCCTTTCATGAGTAATTGCTTGCAGCTAATCTGTGATCATCCCATGAAAATTAGTAAACTTCTTTAAAAGATAATTTTTTGATTGCAAAAATGTTAGAAAGTGATAATCCAGCTCTTGCAGCTTTGAAAATAGGTGTTTTCCTGTCTCTCAGACCTTATGTTTAGCTAGAGTTCTTAAATTCATAAGAACCAGAGAACCCACCTTAAAAAAAAAAAAGAAAAAAAAAGGTTCTTCCAAGGGGAATGTGCCACTGGCTGGTAGCTTTCTTCTCTGCTGTTGGTATCTGTTTTACACCAATGAAAAGAAGATGCCAGACTACAATGGTAGAAACTGTCTTTCAGCTTTTGTCCCTCTCTTATTTTTTTATATTAGTCATTCAAATTTTTCTTACATTTTCCAATTTCCTTGAAGATATGGAGAATATTGGTGGTTGGTGGATGGTTCAGCAGATTCCAACTGTCTTAGCAGATTATGAAATGAATTAGTGTCCCTCTGGGTTGGGAGCCACATATTTTCCAGCCATATTTGGGTCCCTATGCAGTTAGCTTCCCAAACTATGGCTGTTTCAAAGACTTTCCAGGATCTACCAAAAACTGACTGAAGTACATCAGTTAAACTGAATCTTTCATTGTATAGCAGGTACTTCTTTGAATTCAAATTGGGCCCCAGAATGCTCTAAAACAGTACATGAGAGCTGAGCTGCTACTGATTTATGCTGATATTAAGATAAGAATTAGGATGACACATAACTTGACAATTTGTTTCCATCTTGCCTTTGGTTACTCTTGATTCATGTGCAACGCAGAATTCTCTACCCAGAACTCCCATGCTTCCTAGAAGAGGCAGTGGAGGATGGACAGTGGGAGTCATCCTCCCTCTTATCCCTATCTTGGCAGGACAATGACTTACGAATACAGCCAAGAGAGGAGACAACTGGGCTGTGCTGGCTGTCCGATTTTACACCCACAAGGAATCTGTAACCCCTTCAACAAGGTGCAGTCAATGTGTCTACCCTCCACATATATCCTTCACTCTTTCCTCACAGGATTTCTTTACATCTTTGACATCCAGGTCTCCCTTTGAGATCATTTTCAAATGGATTTTATTCATATAAAAATCCACGCGTGTAGGGAGAGGGGGAGTTCAGAGGGCCAGCATCCCTTGGGTGTGCTGCTATCCAAGATACCCCCACTGCCCGTCTCACACACAGCATCTGGACAGCTATAGATTGCCACACCTCTTATTTTTCACACTTCAGCACTTGTTCAGTTTAATAGAATCTGAGTAAAAAAGACAGTTTTTCATAGAACCTTAAATATAACATATGCAGAAGTTTAAGGATTCTGTATAGCCATAGTTCCTTGAAAATCAACTCTATCTAAATTTACCCAGAGAGATAATCATCAGCCTGTTTCTCATCGGTCAAACTATTAACGTGTGTTCCAACCTCAACTACTGACCTTTAGTTTTCAACTTGAGTACAGCAGCTGCCAGCAGTGTGGTCTGAGATCTGCATTTTTAGGGCTGCTGTAGGCTTTGGAATTCAAGGGTTGATTTGTGAACCAGCTGCTTCATACGCACCTAGCTTCAAGAAACAGAACTAGCCTCAAGGCAAAGTAAGGAAACATGTTTGGATTATAATTACTCATTTTGACCTTTAAAATCTTAAAGGAACACTGTAGGAAGAGAAGCAACTAAAGGTTCATCCAATGCCTTGGACCCTGAAGGAGCTGGTACTGTTATGCAAATAAGAATTGTGAAAACCATCTGTGAATGGGAACCATAGTGAATGGGATAAGGTTGATAAACCCTCTTGGAGATGCAGAGAAGGACCAAACCTTTGTGGGCTTTTGATGGCCTGAGCCAAAAGAGAAAAAGAAAAAAATATAGAAGAAAACAAAAACAGCCAAAGCCAGATATTTCTTTAGGCTTTATCTGTACAAACTAATTATTTGAAAGATAAAAGAAACAACCTCCATGCAGGGTCACAGGTGGCATTTAGTACAGTGAGATCACCAAATGTCCACTGGTAAAGCCCTCTTTGGGCTTTAGGAACAGGCTCAAATGACCACACAGATCCCCTCTGATTGGCTCTGAAAATTGGTGCAGAGAGCTCTCTGAGGACCCCAGCATGCAGAGGAAGATAGGTGGCTCAGGAGGCCATGCCACTCAACTGGCATGCTGAGATAATGGGCTAAATAAATCCTCTTCCTTCAATGACTCACCCCAGGTGGGCACACCACTATGTGTGAGGGCAGAGAGGTTTAAAAATTTTAAATGGAGGAGCTGGCAGTTTTATGGTCACTATGGTTACTAACATTCTAACCTAAGCCAGGTTCAGATAATGGTAATGGTAAGGGTTTTTTCCCCCGCCCCCCATCTTTTTTGTTTGTTTTTGAGACAGGGTCTCATTCTGTTGCCCAGGCTGGAGTGCAGTGATGTGATCTCAGCTCACTGCAACCCTCACCTCCGAGATTCAAGCGATTCTCCTGCCTCAACCTCCTGAGTAGCTGGTATTACAGGCATGTGCCAACAAAGCACGACTAATTTTTGTATTTTTAGTAGAGACGGGGTCTCGCCATGTTGGCCAGGCTGGTCTCAAACTCCTGACCTCATGTGATCCACCCACCTGGGCCTCCCAAAGTGCTGGGATTACAGGCATGAGCCACTGTGCCTGGCCTAGTTTTACATCTTATTTAGACACTTCTGCTTGGTTAAGAGGCTGGAACCGGAATAGATTGTCAAGAGACCCACATTTTTCAGAAGCCGAGCAGGTGGCACCACTAGATGGTGTATTTTCAGCAGAATTCCTCTTATGGATGTTAATGTGTCCCAGGAGCACTTCAGTGGTTGTCATCATGTTAATGAACACATATGAGCATTTTTAGGCGCTGGCTTCCTGCAGACACATTTCCAGAAAGCTGAGGCCAAGAAGAGTCATTTTGTGTTTTTCTGTTGAGAAGAAAAGATTATTAATCCCTCTTTGATGACTGATGGATTCTGAAAATGCGTGTGACTGACACGTGCTTAGGATATTTGTTCTCCGGACATCTGAAGAGTATTTACTCTCTAAAGTTAAACCAGTGGTTTAACAACCACTCCACAACTTTTCCTCATTTTCAAGATTAGCTGAGATCTCTTCCTTCACTTACAACCATATAGATAAGAAATATATTTAAAATTTCTTAAAATATAGCCATAGAGAATTTGACCTATCAGATATTTATGAAATTTAAATTAAAATGTGGCAAATAATTTATCTATTCCCACTACACCCTCCACTCGCAGCCTGCCCCAAGAACCTACTGTATAAATTATGAATTACTGCTCATATCATGGATAATTTTTCTAACATTTCAGATACTCAGATTTTCATTCTTTCAGAACTTAACAGCATTGTCTGGCCCCCTAAAGTGAAAAATGCTTCTCTCTGTGAAGGCAATTGAAAGAGACACTGCTGTAATTGATATGTCAATTTAAGTGGTCCAGGCTAATATTTTCACAAGGACTTGAATATAACAAGTAATGAAGATCTTTAAGAGGCTCACTATGGTTATAATTTTGAATTGCTACAGAGTTATGTACTCTTTACCCACATTCAATTCCTATCTTGAGGAAACATAATAGAAAGTTTATGCATATCTATTTTTACTAGTGGCTAACTCAGAAAAGGAAGAGTTCCTACCTGTGGTCATATCTTGGGGATAATGATGCCAACTGCCTGTCCTTTTCTAGACAGCATTTTGTTTTTTGCTTTGGGGTTTTTTAATTGGTTTTCACAATTTTCTAAATCCAGAATTACATACTATAGTGTGTAATTACCTAAACCCATGTGTTATGTATTACAGAATGCTTTTAATAATTTAAAATATAGAATAGCACATCATGTGAAAGTTTGTTAGGATTTATACTGTTTTGTTAGTCTTGTCTTGAAGTAACCACTTGTTTATTTGACCAAGAAAATACAACACTTAGCTAAAAGAAAACAAATATTAACTCAAATGTATTCTCCTGTTAACTCAGTCTTATGAAGGAAATCTATTTGTGCTCATGAACACTAACCAGTGAACATTATTTAAACACAAAACCAAGTCAGGATATGCCAATATCTAATGTGCCTTTTTATTTCGCTGAAATCAGATCCCCCAAAGAACTATTGCAAATCCCCAAATCAAGGAAAATGATAACCCTCATAGAATTTCCAGGTCTTGATAACCCCCTCACTGTGTTTATTGATGAGTCTATTACTTCTTGTTTAGAAAATCTCCTTGACACCTTGTGGTGTGTGTATTAAATTCTATTCCCTATAGTTTAAGGACGAATCTAACCAGAACACACACCCGGCAGCTTTAGAGAATATGATATTCACTCAGCAAGAAAACCACCTCCCATCAAGCAGCCTCCTGATAATGTTTAATGAAGATGATTTTTCACTGCTGACATGTCTGCGTCTGTTCTCATAGTACTCCTGCTGTTTTTCATTAAGGACACTATAATATGGAGCTACTCTGAAACCAAGCGGGCCCTTGTTTTTGGTGACCATTAACAAAAGACATGCTTTGGCAGCGTCTGAATTCTATGTCATTGGGAACATACTTTGCACTGGTCTCAAGCGAGTCAATAATTACATGTTAAAAATCTACATGTTATAAAAAATAATTCACTAATAGTGTTCAAAAGGGCCCCCGAAAATCACATATGTGAAAAAGCTATCTTTACTTGGGAATTTCTTTACTTGGGAATACTCAGAACTGAAGCTTAACAAAATTAATTACCATGTAGGTTTAAATTTCTCACAAATTTTCATCTGGATTTTAAAGTCAGTGAAACCATTTCACAAGGAAATGACATATTGTCACCTGTTCCAGCGTTATTTTACTGTTTGCTGTAGCTCTGAACTGCTTTCCAGTAGAACTGGTTCAAGATAATTAAAGAGATGACACAAACCATTTCACTAAGGGAGTAGACTCCTGTTTTGAATATAGCAAGAATCATGTCAATTTACAGTAAACCATGATGACTTCAGTTGAATTATGAATATTTCACTTTATGCAGTTAATGCTCTAGAATAATTAAATGAAATTATCTTTCAGTGTTTTTTCTGAAAAATGAATTTTCATGTGAACAAAAGGAAGTACTGGCTTCCATTTGACATTCCAAGCGACAGTGCAGACTCAGCTTGCTCCTCTATAAATCTCTATGAGAATTTATTTTCTTTCTTTTTTCCCATTGGCCTAAATTTTGCCTCTTAGCTGTATCAATATCATGTCTCGCTAATCAGGTCCTGATTAGATGGAGATCTTCAGAAACATACACTGATCCAAGGAGCTGATTAAAATGTATACTAAATTGGAGGAAAAAGAATAGATGAAATACAGAAGATATGAAAACACTTAGAAGTGACTTTCTATTAAATTTATTTCAGCAGTACAAATGTTAATCTCTAGAAAGCTTGAGCTAAAAAATTGAAATTATTAGGCCTAAAAAAGTAAAAATATATTAAAAATAATAAAATTACTATTAATTATAATGTGAACAGCTTTTATATTCTGTGCCTGGATATCTCATGAACATATTGATTTATTTCTAACACTGAGCCTTCCTACATTTAATAAGTGATGTACAAAAGGTAATTAGGTTTAAGGAATTACTTAGCAGTTTTATAAAGTCTTGAATTGCCTGATCTAGGATCCAGAGGCATCATTGCTTTTCTGTTTCTTTGTTTCATTGCTTTTCTGTTTCTTTGCATCCTATTTGACAGATAGTTGCTGCAATAATGGCAATTACTGGCATTGTCATGATGGCGTATGCAGATAATTTCCACGCTGATTCCATCGTAGGAGTGGCATTTGCAGTGGGCTCAGCCTCTACATCTGCATTATATAAGGTATGTTGTGCATTTTCTTTTGTAAGCAACTGTCACTCATAACTTAGACTTGAGTACTAAAGTAAGAAAGTAAGATGAAAACATTGATTAGAAAGAAAATAGATGTGTTGAAATGATAGTAAGTAAATTAAGTACTCGTTATGTGATGGGTACCTGCCTGAAAATTTTGCCTGTTTTAATACAACCTTATGAGGCATACATATTTATTTCCACTTTCCAGGTGAGGAAACTGAGGCTTTGAAAGATTCAATAACTTGCCTCAAATCATACAGCCAAATAGTGATAGAACCAAGACTTAAACTCTGGACTAGCCTACTTCTAAGCCCATGTGCTATGCCCTAATCCCTCATTTAGCAGGCAGTTATAGCAGGAACATTAGAAAGTCATCTTCTCTCCCTATGTTTCTTTAATTTAATTATCTATGGTCATTATTTTAATTCAAAAGAGATGTTAGAAATAAGCTATCACTAGAGAGCTGTTTGGCACATATTAACCCCATGCCACAGGAGCTCATGTTACTAGCAAAATGAAGAACCTCTTTTTTTCTCTGATGGATGCTCTAAGTCAGTTGTATGTACCCACCATTTTTTTCTCCACTGGAGTTCCCTGTCATCAAAGAAAATTCTATTCAGAGTCATTGCACCTGACTTCAGAAGTGAGAACTAAGAGAGCAGATCTAAAAGGTTATTCCCCAAAGCTCTACTTTTAAAAGTCAACTTTCTGGATGTATTAAAGAACTGTTCCAATTTCACCTCTCTTGGTGTTTCAATGAGAAAACACTCTCTGAAAGGCAGCAAATACCCTTTTCATCCCTCCTGGAAGCCTTTTCTGATTATTAACCAACACTGTGGCTCAGAGGGCATGAAGTCTATTTCCATATTGACATTTTCTTGGCCCATTGATTCTGTGTGACAAGCTTGACAAATGTTCACTCAACGGCCATTAGTGTCTAACTTGCTCCCCAAGTGAGATTCACCAAGATGTCTGATGTGACCAAAGACTACCACGTGCTCAAATTCTTTTGATTAAGTCTTTCAGCAGAAAAAAATCATTAGTTCAGTTGAAATTAGAAACAGTACCTGGGGTTGCTCTATGACCAGAATGGCTCTCTTGCAGAGGGATTTCCCCTGACCAGGTTACAGAATGTATTCATTCTGAGAGTGGTAATATTTGCTGACATGTACCAAATCATATCTGCACCATAATATAATTCCAGGCAGAAGAGATCTGCCTCACTCTATGTTGTTACAGGATTAGTATAGGGAGTGGTGGGCTTAAGAAGCTAAGAAATATGGACTCTACACTTGGCTTTCTCCCTGACCTGTTGTGTGATTTTATCTTAGCTATTTGCTTCTCCTTGCCATCTTCCTCTGCACACAGGTTTATAATATATAAAAACTGTTTTTTAAACTGGGGAACAAGCACCATATTTGTGAAGTCATTTTAAGCTCACAAAGAAAATTGCGTATAAATCCAAGGCATAAATATTATTTCTCTCAACATAATGACAGGGTCTCTCCATCCAATTTACTTTTCAGTATCTACCAAAATAAGTATAAAACAAATCCCATGCTTTAAGGTCCTAGAAGATTTTTCTGGGCTTGTCTGGACTCTTATTTATCATTTGCCTGATACCCATCACTGATGGTGGCACTAAACACAATGTACAGTACCCAGCAGTTTTCAGCACCATAAGAAATTCATTTTATGACATTTGCAATTTCATACGAAGGCTATAGAGTATTTTAATTCCTTATCTCAACAGCCCATCTAGTGCTGTGAAGATGTCAGGGCAAGAAGAAATGGAGAATAAACTCTGGGCCAGTTAGCTCACAGTACAGAATCATAAGACTTACCTTTCTGTTCTAGCTAAGTCTCTGTGTGGCTGTAGAGTTTCTTTCTCATTCCAGGTCTTGTTTAAAATGTTTCTTGGAAGTGCCAACTTTGGGGAAGCCGCACACTTTGTCTCCACCTTGGGTTTCTTCAATTTGATCTTCATCTCCTTCACCCCAGTCATCTTGTATTTCACCAAGGTGGAGCACTGGTCCTCTTTTGCAGCTCTGCCGTGGGGCTGTCTCTGTGGGATGGCAGGGCTGTGGCTTGGTAAGTGGCCTCGGGTTTTGCCTTCCATTCCCTATATCACTCAATCTTTCTTTGGCTAGTTAGATTATCATCATAGGATTATTTCCTTGGGTAACTCTGTGCTCTAGTTCCCAAACGTATGTTGTTCAACATCATTGGTCATGTTTAGAAGGTTCTTTGCAAGCTGCTGGTTGATTAGGTTCAAGCTATCCAACTAGTATGCCTCCCATGAGTTAAGGTGTGCAATGGAGGCCCAGGCCTCTCTGTATACCACTGGCCTTCAATCCATTCTTCTTCTTCAGCCTCATTTATTCTTTCTAATGCACTGTATCACATTATAATGTTCCATGTGTGCCACGGTGTGCTGGGCAGAGGCTAGGGAGTAGATGGTGCATTCAAAGAACTCAGAGTGGTTCAAACTGGTGGGAGCACTGAGTTCAGAAGGAAAGGAGGGAGGGAGGGAGGAAGGGAGGAAGGGAGATGCTATTTAAGAAGGAAGCAGGTTGGGAAGAACCTGGAAAGCCATTTTGAGGTGTTTGGATTTAAAGTTCACTTAATAATCTTTAAGCAGGTTGGTGATAGGCTCATATCTGCATATGAAACAGCTCACTCTGGCTGAGAATGGAGGATGGATTTGTGATAGGAAGACATTGCCAGTAAAGAGACAGCAGCATGCACTGGGCTTGGTGATCCTGGCTGTGTAGACAGTGCCTAGTTAATGGCCAAGAAAAAATCACCTGGAGTCTTTGTAATGTCTTCACTGCCAACTTCCTATAACTCTGAGGCTGGCTGCCTCACCTGAGCTCCGGGATCCGACTTTTAAGCTGTGCTGCTGTTGTCACTTGATGTGAGAGGAGCCTGTAAAATAACAAGGTTGCTCTTCTCTCACCAAGCAGTCAAAAAACAGCAACAACCCAATGACTTGGTGTTTGTTTACTCAGAATCAAATCCTTTTCATGCCGCTCCCATTTCCCCACGCCACTCGGAGGTCAACTCCCTCTGCCCACTCCTCATTTTCCCACAATACTCGGCCTGCAGAACATCTATCAACCCTCAACTGACCTTCTTTATTGAGGTGATATAATTTGAAATAGTAGCAGCACTGCAACTCCTGGGAGCAACATGTTCTTATTTTCATCCCTGCAAGAGTATTGATTGGGTCATCTTTTTCTATGCTGGCTCAGTCCCTCAGACTCAGGGGAGGTCTTAGACAGAAAACACTCAAGAGAAGGATAAAATATTAATTGTTGGTCCCTTGAGTTCTACTTTTCGACGCCAAAATTATGTGGTTAGCACCTCTCATAACCTCTGCTAAGTTGAGTAGAAATCAATAGCGATACTTCCGTAAGACCAAAACATCCTCATTAAAAGCACCTAGATTATTTTCTGACCAAAAACAACATAAATGGGAACAATCCTAATTAAAATTTTAATGACCTTTAGCCTCCTCATTGCACACATGATTTCCACCTTGCTGCAAAGTAGCCCTCCACCAACATATACTCCTTGGCATATCCAATACATGCTCCTAAGCAAGCCTGCAGAGGCTGGATGCCACCTGTGCTAGCTAAACATTGGCATTCGCCACCAAGCAGTATGAGCTCCACACTCCACTGGCTGCAGTGCTAAGCAGCACTGCAGCTGCTCCACCAGGCCCACCCCAGTGCACTGCAGAGCTCACTGTGCCAAAGTTGTGCTGTGACAATTGAGATAGCCTCCCTCCTGGCTGTTACACACCCCAGGATCTTACGGTCTTCAGTGCTCCTATTCCTAAGTGTTTATTGCCATCCCTCTTTTCTCCATAGAAATCAGACATGATCTGGCTGAGGCTAGGCTGACACAGGTCTGAGAGATACACATCAGTCTGCACCCTGAACTACCCCACATCTCCTGTAGTTATGGTTTCTTGTTTGCTTATATTTCCTTTGCCTCAATCCTCTCAGGTTGACCTACCTTTCCGGAAATGCGTTAGCCCAAATGCAAGTCAGCCTCCTCCATTCACCTAGCATGTCTGAATTGCACTTAAACTCAGGCTAGGCCCCATACTATGGAGTTCAGCAGAGCCTGTGCTGTATTTCATAAATTCCTGATTTGTAAGAATTTGCCATGTTGGACTCCCTAAGTCTGAGGAGAGTGTCAAAGTGCTGGAATATTCATTCATGTTGCAGCTTTGTCAGGAATGAGGAGCAGTTATTAGCTTAGGAAGACCCTCTGCCTTGCTTGCCACTACTATTGTATGAACAATAAAAAGGAGCTCAAGTCGTGTAAAAGTCAAACTCACTGTTTCTAACTATCAAGCACAAGTGACCCAGTGGGCCTAAAGCGGGAATTACAGATGACAATAGAAGAACATACATCATCCTAATTGGAATGGTTCTAGAACTTTTTTTGGTTCTACAGAGATATAGGCAACATGCTTCCCTCATTGTCATGGAGATAGCACTCATCTCTCTATCCCCTGAAACAAACATTTGAGTGGATTCTATTAGAATAATGTTTTGTAATTTATAATTTTCTTTTTGAAAATGTGTTTTTGATAAGTTTTAAAGTGGATAAATGATTATTGTAACTAATTTTATATTTAACCAAAGAGTTCCAAAAGGTATTCATTGAAGAGCATGAAGCTACACCTTCAGTTGGTTCTGTGGATCTGCTCTCTGATTATCTGTACACAAATCAGGATATGGAGACAGTCTCTGGAATTCAGTGAATTACATTTAAACCCACCCTTGTTTGCCCACATGATGCTGACCTCCAGAGAGAGGGGATAAAACAGCATAGGCTATCATTGGATAGACCTTCCTTTAGGCAGTAACACTGCAGCCATTTAATGTCCAGGAATGTGGCACAAAATAGCATAGCAATAAAGAGATGAGGCACCATCTTCAATCAATCACCTGCTTTTAACCTCTGGCTGGCCCCAACCTACCTTTATAGTGCCAATAAGCAGTGCTGTGAATCAATTATTTTACCTCTTTGTATTTGCTCCATATGCCTTTTGCTAGCCTATTGGCAAGATTCAGCTAAACAGAGTGGCAGAGGAGGAAAGAAAAAAATGACTAATTCAGGTAGAATACACATGCATCCATCTCCAAAATTAGAGGATCAAAGGTATAGACAGTTTAAAAGGCACATGTAGCAAAGACATTGATTCATTTACTTTGAGAAGAAAAAAGTCCAGCATATTATTTCTCCTTTATCTTGTATTTCCTCCTCTATTTTACAGCCTTCAACATCCTGGTGAATGTTGGGGTGGTGCTGACATACCCAATCCTAATCTCCATTGGGACAGTGCTCAGCGTTCCTGGAAATGCAGGTACAGGTACCATGTGACATGTGCAGATCCTGGCCACTACAAGTCTCTTGTTTGTGTTTGTTCTGTGTCCTGAGTTGTTCCTTCTAGAAATTGTGAATTATGTTTCTTGCCTGGGAAGATGTTTTTAAATATCGTGAAGGTGGCAGACAACAGAATAACTATGCAGCAGATTTAAAATTTGCAACTAAAAAACACTGTTTTTACTTGGTTGTGCTTTTAGAATTAAATACCAAATGTATCATTTGGGTTTCATGTAATCTCCCTGACAACCTAATTTTGTGGTATTTTTAGAGAAAGTCCTATGGAAACAAAAGGCATCCCAGCATAGGACTTTCAAGTAACCGTCACTAATGAAAGTGTAGAGGATGTACATGGGGTTGGCTTCTCCTCAGACAATCCATGGGGAGCCACAGAAGGCTCTCCTGGGGCAGAGCAGGTGGCCCTCTGGGACAGATATAAGGAAAAAACAATTTTATTCACCTCAGGGACAAGAGAAGCTATTTTTCCAGGATAATATTTCTAGAGAAACCTGCCAGTGAAACAAGAAATACAAATGGATTATCTGGATGATTGTATAGTCCTTTTAACTTTAAAATTTTATAATTTCAAGTCTTGAGCAGCCACTTTTCTGTCCTCCACGACAATCAGCAAATGTTTATTGAACATTTGTCATGTGATCAGGACTGCAAAAAAGAAAAAAATTACATTATTATTCTCTTAAGATGTTTATGACTGAATTTGTAAAAGAAGGCCAACCTACATGAAACAACTTAGAACTCTACAAAATAATTTATTATTAAATGCCAAATTGTGTGAGACAGACTCCAGCGGCTATCAGACATTCAGAGGAAAGAAATATCTGAGTGGAGTTGTCGAGGAAGTTCATCCATTCATCTGACAAATAATTTCTGAGCAATTAGTGTACACCAGGAACTTTCCTAACACTAGTGACAGGTCCTGAATAAGGCACAGTCTCTGCCCTCAGGACCATGTAGCATTGAGAGGGAGACAAAAAGAAAAAATTGAGTAATTACAACATGGAATTGCTTTAATAGAGGTATGTGCTGAATGCTGCAAGGGCGCGTAGGAGGAGCATCCAAAAGGCTTCCTGCGAGAAGCCTAAGGGAAGAGATCTAAGGAGAGGTTTAGCTGGATGAAGTGAGATATGAGGAGTGAAGGGTAGCTCGTGCAAAAAGAATACCACATGTGTGGCCAACAACTCCACTGCTGACTGCATACCCCAGAAAAGTGAAAACAGATTTTAAAAATCCTCATACACAAATGTTCATAGTAGCCCTATTCCCAATAGCAAAATGGTAGAGAAGCCTAAATGTCCATCAGCAGTTGAATGAATAACCAAATTATGATGCATGAAATAGTATTCAGCCATAAGAAAGAATGAGGTGCTGACACATGCTGCAATATGGATGGACCTCAAAAATATTTTGCTAAGTGAAAGAAGCCAGTCACAAAAGGACAGAGGATGTGACTCCATTTATATAAAATAACTAGAATAGGCAAACCTATAGGGGGAAAAAAAAGTACATTGGTGGTTGCTGAGGGCTGGGGAGTGGGGGTAAGAAGCTAAGGAGTTAATCGGTATGGGCTTTTATTTTGAAGTGATGGAGATATTTGGGGGCCAGAGAGAGGTGGTGGCTGCATAATATTGTGAATATACTAAGTGCCACTAAGTCCACTTTAAAATGGTTAATTTTATATTACATGAATTTCACCTCAATTACATTTTTAAAAGAACAGCCTGCACAAGTCTTAGACACTAACAAGTTTGGCTCATTTGAAAAATCTCCAATGGTCCAATGAAACTGGAGACGGGTAAAGGGGTACAGAGGAAAAGTACTGAGAGAAAACTGGGGAGGTAAGTAAGTCAGATTACATGGAATTTGAGCTAAGCCTTGAAAGATAAGCATGATTTAGAGACAAGCAATGGAAAGCAAACCTAGCAATGTGGAAAAAGGAAACACTAACGTGGAAGAATAAAGACGACTCTTGGAAATCTCTAGAAGTAACATAGACTTTGGTGACTTGTTTTCAAAGCTTAGAAACAGGCATATGCAATGCATGACTTGATTTTTCTTTCCTAGCTGTGGATCTCCTAAAGCAGGAGGTGATATTCAATGTCGTCCGCCTGGCTGCTACCATCATCATCTGCATTGGGTTTCTGCTGATGCTGTTGCCTGAAGAATGGGATGAAATCACCCTGAGGTTCATCAACAGCCTGAAGGAAAAGAAGAGTGAGGAGCATGTGGATGATGTGACTGATCCCAGCGTACACCTGCGAGGCAGAGGCAGAGCCAATGGGACAGTGTCTATACCACTGGCTTAGAGAGGGACACATTTTGAATGCACGTGTATGTATATTCTGTGAATATAACAAAATTTTCTCACTACCTGTACACTCAAATGACAGTATTAACTCTGAATTTGGATAAATCATATGTGAAATAATGCCAACAATAAAAGTTTACATTTATATGCTTATCAAGGAATTGGTGTAAATAATCATAATAGTTTTTTTATTAAAACACATTTGTCCTTGTTCTGTTTTCTGATTTTTTTAAATTTCCCCTCCCCTGACTCACAAAATTTCCTGAAACTGTAAGAGTCAATTAAATTATGGTCTTATCTTTTTCTCAACTAAAACTGAGTTCTTCCTACTCAATCAAAAAAAGTTGTCTAAGAGAATAACACATGAAAATAATACATACTTGAAAGCCGGGGAAATGTATTACAGATTTAAACAGAGCATTTTCTATATGTAAAACCCACAGTAGAAACAATGAGGAATAAAAATATAGAATACCCATTTGTACTTTTGATGAGCTTAGAATGGTTTGGAGGATAAGACAGTTCACAAATATCTTTACTATGGGGTGGACATTTGAAAATGGCACAGTGGATATGGACAGGAATGAGCTATCCTGAAAGAGTTGTTTATATTTGCTTTCACTTCTTCAACTCCCATTCACTTTTCAGCCCACTGCAATGCACCTTCTGCCCTCATCAGTTCTCTGGAAGTGCTTTCCCCGATGATCAACCTCTCTCTTGCAAAATCATATTGATATATTTCAACCCTTATCTTATTGTGCCCTCTGACACATTTGACACGATGACCACTCCTTTTTCCTAAATACTCTCTCTTTGCTTGAATCCCACTACTTTCTTTTGGTTCTATTTCTACCTCCCTGGTTGCTTACCTTGGCTTTTTTTCCTAGGCTGATCTTATCACCATCAGGGTTCTCTAAGTTTAGACCTTGGCCTTCTTAGTATCTCATTCCACACTCTCTCCCTTGGGGAACTCCTCTACTCCCATGGCTTCAACTGTCATCCATATGGTGATGACATCAAAATCTTAATCTCCAGCCTAGATTTGTCCTTTGAGCTTTAGCTCTGACTCTTCAAATGTCTTCTGCAGCTCACTTGGACGCCTCCTTGTATACCTCAAATATAGCAAAAACAAAGTTGAATTTATCATCACTCCTCCCCAGACCTGTTCCTTTCCTCTGCCTGTTCCCTGTCTATGTTAATGATACCATTATTCACTAGCTGCCTAAGCTGGAGATCAACCTCACCTCTGCCTTCTCATCCTGCACATCTGTTTAGATATTGTTCCATATTGTTTAATATGTCCTATTGACTCTATTTCTTAAAATTTATTGAGTCCATGTACTTCTCTCCTATTCTACCCATCCAAGGCCCCTATCATCTCTTGCTCTGCTTAATCCAATACTTTCTTCACTGATATCTCTAATTCCTAGACTTGCCTCTCTGTAATTTCTTATGTGACCTATAAAGTGACTTTTCTAACACATAGATTTAATCATTCTACTCCCTTATATAAAATGCTTCAGTGTGGTCTTAATATCCTCAGGATAAGGTCCAAACACCTTGGTATGTCATTCAAAGTTCCTCATTGGCCCCTGCCAGGCTCTAGAGCAGCAATGTCTAGTAGAACTCTCTGTGATTATGGAAATATTTCATATCTGTGTGGTCCAATATAGTAGCCACAAGTGGCTACTGAGCAGATTCAATGTGGCTAGTACAATTGAGGAACCACATTTCTATTTGTATTTAATTTTCATTCTCTCAAAGAGCCAAATGTACAGTCAGACTCACACCGGTAATTCCAGTGCTTTGGGAAGCCATGGCAGGAGAATCACTTGAGCCCAGGAGCTCGAGACTGCAGTGAGCTATGATTGCGGCACTGAATTCCAGCCAAGTTGTCCAGGCAACAGGACAAGACCCTATCTCTAAAATAAATAAGTAGCCAAATATGGCTCTTGGCTACTACACCGGACAGCACAGCTCTAGAGTCTCATTCTACCACACTACCCTTTGTGGCCTCCTGAAATCTCTATGCTTCAATGACACTATACTTCTCTCCACAGGCTCAATCAAGCCACATTCTCTTTCTTGTTCTCTCTCTCTCCCCCTGCCACCACCTGGAAAGCCTTTATCTAGGCTTCATGACATTATGTGTTGCTATTTTTCTGGGAAGTCTTTTCTTAGCTCCCATGCTGTACAACATGGTTTCTTTGGCAGTCTCTGCTTACCCCCACTGGGTGCTGATCACCCTCCATGGTGGTTGCTGATCTGCTGGTCTGAGTTACCAGTAGACCGTGAGCTGCTTGAGAACAGGGGCTGTGTGGCATTCATCACTGTGTTCCTAGTGCCTAGCACTTCTAGACACATGGTAAATGAATGAATGGGTGGCTTTACACTGGAGATATGGCCCCTGACCCAAACTGTATTAGCTCAGTCTTAGTTAAGGACAGGCATTCTTATAGATGAGACTGGTTAACAGAAGGACTGAAAGGAGCTAGATGTAGCACAGCCTTTCTCATGTTTCCATAAAACACCAATATGCTGAACTGATGAACTTCTTCCCTAAGAGGCTGGGTAGAGCATCTAGCAAGTTAAGATATTCTGCACTCTGGGAAATCTAGTGCAAGAAGCCTAGCCTTTGTGGCATCTACCTTGCTATTTGTTTTTATTCGAGTGTCCCTAGAAGTGTTGCTGAGACAATCACAAGGTAAGAAAAGACAACTCCGAATATCACAGAATATCACTGTCTGGGCATCATGGTAAATGAAAACCTTAATGTGTCAGGACTTTGATTTCTCTGTCATTTTTTCAAAAAGGCAATGCCAGTCTCTTGGCATAGATAGATAACATGATATTAACTAAAATAATAACAATGATATAGTTTAAGCTTTATGAAAAATGAGATAAAGTCAATGAAATATGGTATTAGTAATTATGAATTAATTCATTATCAAAGTAGAGTAGTTTTGACTATTAGTTTTGACTATTTAAATGCCATATTGGTGCAAACATTACACTTGCCTTGTTTTTAAATGGCTGTTAAATAGTAGTAATCACTGCTAACCCACTCTAGCATCTTGCCATTACTTAACATGACATTTAAAATTGCACTTTGACATCTTTAAGAAAAGAGTTGTTTTGTTCTTTTTGATGATTCATTTTGAAAAATGGAGTCAGCTACCCTGGAAAGCACTAATTCGGCCTATGACTGATCACGGTAATTAGCTCAGTCTATATTAAGAGAACACTTTCATTATGGTATTCATTCATTTATTCATTCAAAAATTATTAACTTCGAACCTCTGGCTTTGAAGTAGGGTAGTGTGTTAAACTGTTACCAATTGGCTCTTGCTGGCCTCTAGAGTAGCACTCTCTGATAGAACTTTCTGTGCTCATAGAAATGTTCTCTGTGCTGTGGGGAGGGATACAAAAGTGTATAGGAATGATCCCTGCTTCCAAGAGCCTGCAACCTTTATAGGTAAGCTGTCACTCTGACAATTAAAACAACTCAGAAATTTATTTAAATCAGCTTTGGGAATGTGAGATAGTCCCTTTAATTCAGGTAAAGTAGTCATGAATAAAGATAATAATACCTTTCCTTGTTATTGCTCATGGTCATTATGAGAATCAGGATAATGTAGGTCAGTCACCGGTAAATAAGGTTGTGCCTCTTATGTGCCTATGTTGTGCCTTAGATGAGCCACATTCAGTTAGGTATGAAGAATAATTAAGGGAGGAAGACAAAGACCCTGCGCTAGTGAGTGGGAGTACCGTGTTAAGGTAACTGTTATCCTGCCTTTTTATCCACACCTTTTCCCTTCCCAAAGTCCAGGAAGTGATGGCTTCTGTAGGTTCCTGAGTGGCCAGCACAGTCCAGGGACGAAGAGCACCATGCTTCAACCTTGACTCTGCCCTTCTTAGAGATGGAACTTTGGCAAATGACTAACCTCTCTCTGCGCCTCACTTTCATTAGCAACAAAATGAGGATATTAGTGTCATTTGGGATTGTTGAAAAAATAAAATGAAATACCATGTGTGAGATGTGAATGCACAGCCAGACAGGCCAGAAGCAGTAACTGTTGTCAGAATTTCCTCCACTGCTCACCTCCCTGGAGGTCCTCATCTAGAACTTTCACCTACAGATTTGGCCCTTAGGCCTGTCTTTTTGGTCAACTTATTTCACAGCCCTGTGCCCCAGCAAAGTCACGGAGCCTGGTGCCAAGCAGGGAATTTTACCCAAAATAAACGAGACAGACAAAAGAAGCCTGGCACGAGGAATGCTCCAAGGAATGAAAAAAGGATATGCCTTTTCCATCTGCCTGGTTCCCCTGGGTACTCTGCATCATGGCATTCTTGCCCAGTCAGTGGAACTAATTGCCTGACAAAAAGACAGACTAGCAACTTGGGCTCTGAAATTAAAATCACTTCAACCACGTCCTGATCTCTTCACAAACAGATTATAGGCAAATCAATTTTGCTCATCCAGGCTTTGCATGCCTGTTAATTTTGTGCAGGCGCTTTGTCAAGATTCACCAGAGGACAAATGATTTGGAGGACAATGTAAGAGATAAAAGCATGAACGGTATAACCGGCCAAGCATTAGAATATTTCTGATATTTAAGTACAAATCCTCTTTCTTACTTATCCATAAACCCCTGTCGCAAATACAAAGAACACCTAGCACAGGCCAGGCCGGTTAATCTGGCAGGCTAGAACAAGAAGTCTCTATTCATCCTAATTATTTTTTTTCTTTTTTTTTTTTTCTTTTTTCCTCCACATCTGTAGCAATTGTAGGTGAGGTAAGAACAGGGAGAGTGTAGGGGGTAACGGTGTGGGGGTGCCAGCACTGAGACCCCAGAGGCACGAGGAGAAGCATCACGCTTCAATGCTCTCATTGACCAGGACGCTCCACATGTGTTCCACAAAAGCAAAGGCTACTTTATTGTTGTTTGCTGGAGACAGAGGCATCATATCCTTCTGGAGCCTGAGGGATCTTAAGAGCAAGAAATCTTTACCAGAGCTCCAAGAATGGGCTTCAGGGGCTGTCCCAAGAACCCCCTGACAGAGTTTATCAAATACTGTGAACTTCATTGCTTTACTCTGGAGGAATAAAGTCTGAGAATGCAGAGGCTCTAAAACCCCACTATCCTACACGTAAGCCACCAGCCACATGTGGCTATTGAAATGTGGCTAGTACAAATGAAGATGTGCTG